CTCAAGAAGAAAATACCATTCAGAAGGAGACCGAGGAAGAAGCTGAAACAGTCCAGGAGCCAATAGTTGATGTAGCAGCTGATAAAGATCGGTCACAATTGATTGGGAAGAAGAGACCTCCTGCACCCTTCCCTCAGAGGCTGGCTAAGTACAAAAAGGAGGAGCAATACAAGAAGTTCTTTGAAATGCTAAAGCAAATCCAGGTAAATATACCATTGATTGAAGCTTTGAAGGAGATGCCTGGGTATGCAAAAATGATGAAGGACTTGATGTCCCGAAAGTTTGATTTTCAAGACTTGGCCACAGTTACTCTTACTCAGACCTGTAGTGCAGTGGTAACTAGACCAATTGCGGAAAAGCTGTCTGACCCAGGGAGCTTTACAATTCCATGCACTATTGGTAATTTTGCTTTTGCTAAGGCACTGTGTGATCTAGGGGCCAGCATCAATCTTATGCCCCTGGCAATTTATAAGAGGCTGGGCATTGGAAGAGCTAGACCCACCTCTATGTTGTTGCAGCTGGCTGACAGGACTGTGAAACGAACCTCTGGTATCCTGGATGATGTGCTGATTCAGGTCGGGAAATTTGTGTTCCCTGCAGATTTTGTGATCCTAGACTGCAAGGTGGATGAAGAGATTCCCATAATTTTGGGAAGACCGTTCCTGGCCACGGGGAGAGCTCTAATTGATTGTGAGACTGGGGAGCTCAAGATGAGACTGAACGATGAAGAATAACATTCAATGTGCAGAAATCTATGAGGCGACCGAGTGAATTCGCCAATTGCTCTCTTATTGATGCCGTGGATGTAATTGTAGAGACTGACGATGAAAGGCTGACTATTGAGGACCCCCTTGCTGCATGTTTAATGAATTTGGATGAGGTAAATGGAGAGGATCTGGCGGAATGGGTGTTGGCGCTAGAGGGTAGAAGATTCTGGGATAGGACTCTAAAATTTGAGCCCTTGCACTTGGAAAATCGAGAAACTCCTCCAGCCAAGCCATCAATTGAAGAACCACCAAAGCTGGAGTTAAAGCCATTGCCCGTCCATCTCAGGTATGAATTTCTTGGACCTAACTCCACATTACCTGTTATTATCTCATCTAGTTTGTTAGATGTGCAGGTTCAACAACTGTTGCTGGTACTTAAGGAGTGCAAGACTGCCATTGGGTGGACCATGGCAGACATAAAGGGGATCAGCCCCGCCTACTGTATGCACAAAATTCTACTGGAAGAAGGACACAAACCTTCCAGGGAACACCAAAGAAGGTTGAACCCCAATATGAAGGAAGTGGTGAAGAAAGAAGTAATCAAGTGGTTAGATGCGGGAATCATTTTTCCAATCTCTGACAGCAGCTGGGTTAGCCCAGTTCAATGTGTTCCTAAAAAGGGTGGCATGACGGTAGTTAAGAATGATAACAATGAATTGATCTCTACAAGAACCGTCACGGGCTGGAGAATTTGTATGGACTATCGAAAGTTAAATCTAGCCACCCGGAAAGACCACTTCCCACTTCCCTTCATTGATCAGATGTTAGACAGATTGGCAGGGAGGTCACATTTCTATTTTCCGGATGGGTACTCAGGGTGCAATCAGATCTCCATTGCACCGGAGGACAGAGAGAAGACCTCTTTCACTTGCGCGTATGGCATTTATGCCTTTCGGAGGATGCCCTTTGGCCTATGCAACGCACCCGACACTTTCTAACGGTGCATGATGGCCATATTCACTGACATGGTAGAGGATATAATGGAGGTGTTCATGGATGACTTCTCAGTGGTGGGGAACTCATTTGATGAGTGCCTGATAAATCTGACTCGTGTGCTGAAACGGTGTATTAAGACTAACCTGATTCTGAATTGGGAGAAGTGCCACTTTATGGTACAAGAGGGCACACTACAAAAAAAATTGCATTTAACGACGACCCAAATCCGTCGCTAAAGGGTCTTTTTCCATCGCTAATCAGGGTTAGCGACGGATTAGCATTTGTTGCTGATTTGCTCGTTGCTAAGCCGTTTGCGACGGAAAAATGGAATCCGTCGCAATATTAGCGACGTTCTAGCGACGAACAATATCCGTTGCTACATTTTGCGACAAAATTTCTGTCGCTATATTAGAAAATTGTGTCGTTAAATTCACAATGCATTTCGTCGTTTGGCATACTTTTGCGACAGAAAGTCTGTCGCTAATCCGTCGCCAATATTTTGAGACTCATTTCAGCTTTTCATTTGGCGACCAAAATCGTCTGTTGCAATCTGTCGCAATGTTATTTTATAAATTTATTTTTGTTACAAATAAATATCCGTCGCAATCTGTCGCAATATTTTTCATACAAATTACTAAAATCCATACAATCTGCCGCATGCACATTGTATGTAAATTACTAGACATCCTTAATAATAACTAAAATTCATACAAATTAACATACTTCAAGGTCCAAAATGATATCAAAATGCATATAGCTAATACAATTAAGTTTGAATTATCCCTAACACCAATAATAAAGTTCAAACCAAAAAGGTGCGAATTATCCCTAACACCAACAATAAAGTTCAAAACAAAAAGCTTCCAAACCAAAAAGATGCGAATTATCCCTAACACCAATAATAAAGTTTAAAACAAAAAGCTTCCAAATACGAGGCTTAGGGGTTGTCATCATCTAAAACCGATGGATGAACCCCATGAACAGCTTCCTGTAATATTTCCTGATACCTTTCCTGTAAAAGAGGTGTAATAAGTAGTGAAATTAAAACAGTTAAGAATGTTGAGCATTTAATTAACTAATAAAAAAAGGATACTTCTCATACTCTTTACATTGTAGTAAATAAGATTATAAAATACTGGAGTTACATGCACGATTCGAGCTTTCTCATCAAGAAAAGGCTTTCCATCATGCCCATGTGTATGGACATACAAATGTAACTCACTTGGTGTTGGGTCTCGACCCTTTTCAACAGCCTATACAAAAATAAATATTTTTAAAAGGATAAAAATATTACTATAGTAGAACCAGAAGTTTTGTCACACGTCTAAGTTAGCATATGCACATTATCATGTATTATCTCTAGCTGATCATTCTCTATGGCATGCCTTCAATTGGTTCTACTTGTGTGGTAAATAGACTTGCTATTGAATTTATTTGACTGGTTACATTGTGTGTGTAGCAATGTCTGTTTTCTATTTTTGTTTCAACTTTGACATTTTATCATCCTAATAATGAAGTCCAGAATATGTGGTTATCTGGTACAATTGTGGATCAGCAGGAGCAGGATATGGATTCCAAGAAAGTTTGTTGGAGACTACATGAATGCAATATCAAACTGGGCAATTACAACAGACTTCTGCCCACTTTTTGGACCATCTCTTACTCAAGGAAAGCAAACCTATTCTTACTCAAGGAGAAATAACATATTTCTTGGCTTCTGCAAAATATGTTACTCAAGGACCATCTCTTTCATTAAGAACATAACAACAATAAACAGTCTTTTAAACTTAGTAAGTCAAAACTATCATGGATTAGAACTTTCAGGAAACCAAAATAAGCTCAGGGCAGTCATTTAATGACAAACAAATACTAGTAAGGTAACAGGCTATCAAGCAGAGCCTCAGGGCAGTCATGATACTCAGAGAAGATAACAGGCTATCAAGCAGAGCCAAGATATCATACTTTGACTCTTAAACAGAACTATATAAACATAGTAAGATAGAGCTAGCAAGCAGCCTAGATTCCATAGTGTTTAACTAGCAGACAAACCAAAGATGAACGATAATATTTTCTCTGGTAAGGTTACTATAAGCAATTCTTAACACCAACAAGAAGAAATTTTAAGTTCAGAGTTGCAATAAAGATAAGCTGCGATATACTTCAAAAGGAATTTGCACGTGCATGGCTCATAAAAAAAAAGAATCAAGCCGCACACAAGGGGGTGTGTTCAATACATAGTTAAGTAAATAAAAGTGTGACTTTAAAGCTAGCTTTTAGATGAAATTTGACACTCTTAAACAATTATAGTTGCTATGCCGTTGTCAGCTTAGATAACATATTACTGAGTTGTTAAATGGGAAATTGGAGGCACAAGAATTATTTTTTCATTTATATGTTCCCTGTATTTGGAAATCCTATTTATCAAATAGACAATATCACAAATTATAGGTAGTATTGGTTCTTGATTAAAAGGGATGGATAGCAAATTATTATGTTCCTTTCATTTTGAGAATCAGAAGCACATCGAAACTGTAATTATGGTTGTTGCACAGGCTTTGTGCAGCTGTATACACACACACAAAAAAAACAATTACAATATCAAAAAAGAAAAGAAAAAAACAGCACTTCAATACAGTTGGAGCTTATAACAGCAAGCAATACAGTAACCTTTTATTTGGTGAATAAGTATGCCACGTTGTCACCTTTCGAGTCAGTTTCTGTCTTTATAAGTTACCTCAGATTATGCTTGTGTGTAATTGTTGGTTGCTTATCATTTTTATCTTACTTAACAACTTTTCTGACTGAGTTTTTGGTTTTGTCATCTAGCTCCTTGCTTCTCAGGTGATGGACAGCGGGCTGGGGCCTTCACCATCTGTCATTGTGATTGGTGGCGGAGTTGCTGGCCTTGCAGCTGCTCGGGCTCTTTATGATGCATCTTTTCAGGTATGCATGTGAAAAAGCATGTTTTCACTTAGTTGGTGTAAATGGTGATATGTTTAACTAGGATAATATTTTCCGTTAGGTGGTTGTTTTGGAGTCACGAGATAGAATTGGATAATATTTTCCGTGAAAAAGATTACAAAGAAAGCAAATCTATTCTTACTCAAGGAGAAATAACATATTTCTTGGCTTCTGCAAAATGAGAATTCACACTCAATATTCATACAAAAGCCTTTAAATTTTTTATTATAATAGAGCAATAATCACACTACCAATTAAAGAACTGCTACTTTGTATATGGAGGTGGGAGAGGGGGAACCAACCTGATAATTAGTCTCCACATATACAGATGCTTCCAGTTAGTGTTTAAAGAAAGTACCAATGGCTTTTCACAATGGCCACTCCACATATCTTGTTTGTTGTTGTATACTCTATAAGAATCAAGGCAGTTTCTGTGTGCTTTATCAAGGATTATTTTCTACAAAATAGTTGCTTTTAAGATGCAAAATATATTAATTAAGTAACCATGTTCTACTGGACTCTCTTTGTTTTCTGTATATGTAGGCTTACAATTTGAGAGACATAATATCAAACATGATTTTGTTGTCTTATTTTTAGTTGTCTTCGTGGTTTACTTCCTTAACATCTTGCTTAAAAGGAATAGTATCTCATTAAGGTTGTAATTTAACAAACTGTTCTAAGACATTATATTACAAGAATTTGATTCATGGTAAAATTGTGTCTCCAATTGATACACTGAGTATTACTTTAATTCTTGCTAGTAAGTCAAAACTATCATGGATTAGAACTTTCGGGAAACCAAAATAAGCTCAGGGCAGTCATTTAATGACAAACAAATACTAGTAAGGTAACAGGCTATCAAGCAGAGCCTCAGGGCAGTAATGATACTCAGAGAAGATAACAGGCTATCAAGCAGAGCCAAGATAATCATACTTTGACTCTTAAACAGAACTATATAAACATAGTAAGGTAGAGCTAGCAAGCAGCCTAGATTCCATAGTGTTTAACTAGCAGACAAACCAAAGATGATGGATACCATGATATCTGGTAAGGTTACTATAAGCAATTCTTAACACCAACAAGAAGAAATTTTAAGTTCAGAGTTGCAATAAAGCTAAGCTGCGATATACTTACAAGTCTCTTGCGATACTCCCCAATGGAGACAGAGCCGCCTGTGTGAGTCCAGGTGGAGACTCCAACCCTACCGCCACGACGATTGTTTGCATTTATTTCTGACTTTTCAACACACTTGGGATCTTTTCAAAGTTGTTCCCAACTTTCCCACACTTCTACTGGAACACCTCTTGGCCTACTTTTTTTAGTTTTCATTTTGGAAATGAAATCTTTGTACCTTATTGATGCCTTATTCTCCCATTGGCTCCGCACTGCATTGTCAATGGAAGAGTCCCAATAGAATTTCTTCTGAAATAATTTTATAAAGTAATAACATTAATATCTTATTTATAACAGTTAATACACTTCCTAAATTCATTATATAATGAGAAATTATACCTTGAATTCTCCCCAATAAAAGTTTTTTATCTCGCCAGAGACACTTTTCCAATTGATTCCATTGGGATCAAGTTCATGCTTGAAAGATTTAAATATTTACCTCAGCTGTAAAGAGTTGGAATCATGAATTTATTTTTGAGTTCATTATATATGCAGAACCGAGATAAACGAATTACTAATTAAGATCCGCAATTATATGGAGGAATCTGAAAACCTTGTGTTGCAGCTGGACTGTAGACTATTAAACTTGAAAGACCTACGGCCTTCCTTTCCTTGTTTGGAAGGATTTACAACAATAAGCTCACCATTTTCTCCAATGTATTCAACAACTGATTGTTTTTCCTTTTGTCCACGAAGGAACGGCCTAATCCGACAATACACTCTGATATTTCCTAATTGAAAAATAACCATAAGTAAATGAAAAAGAAAGGTAATAAATTTCAGTTCTCAAAATTATTAAAACTTCATTATATTATCGCACCTTTTAGCTCCTGCACCTCATTGTGCAGTTTGCAATTCTCAGCAAGGACTGCAGAGTAGTTAGCAGCTGCATGTCCTAGTGCTCTAACTTTTTCACCTGCAGTAGAAATTTTATTCCATATGGGAAATCCATTTAAGTCAATATTAAAACTTGTGCTGATATCTTATACTTGTATTGCAATCAATAAACGACGTTATTATAACACTTCAAGCAGCTGAACTGACCTATTTGATTGAATTCCTCTGCATAGCTCTTTTGTGCTTTTACAATTTCTTGACTTATTAACTGAGAAGAAAACCTTAGTTCCTGAACATTCATGGAGGTTAAATTCACACGTGCTACAACACTGACATTTCAGAAAAAAGTAAGAAAAGATCCTATCTTGACAATTAAACCAGAAACACAAGTCAAACCATGAAAGAAAAGAACTTTTCATACAAAAAAGCCCCCTTTTACAATTAAAATCTGATAAAGCTCCAAGCCCTAGCTGCTCCAAATTGATGCAAATAAAGTAAGAAGAAAACAATTAATTTGAAAATGTTCACTCTCATGCAGAGCAATGAACATAGTATTCGTAGTCATTAGCACTGCCATCAAGCTACTGATTCATAAGAAAAAGAAGAAGAAACAAATTAAAGCCATCTACACACCTTAGATTTCACGTTGGCTACTAATTTTTGCTCTTGTTCTTGCCCTCAAGTGTGTTTTCCATTGATTTTGCTCCCAGCCGCCCATATTTGCTCCCAGCGTTCTACACTGTTAGAAGAAGAAGAGACCGAACTTTTACTAATTTTGTGCCCTGGGTAAATAATTAAGTGATCTTCAGCGACGGATTTACTACGGCTTAATTTCCGTCGCTAATAATGATATTTTTGTTTGGCTGGATATAACATTATCGACGGAAATTTCCGTAGCAAGGAGCTTAAAAAAAATTTGATACAGAAATTAAGCATAGCGACGGAAATTTCGTTGCTAATTCCGTCGCTGAAGGTAAATAAATCTTGTCCCTCAGGTTTTGTCGCTAAATCCGTAGCTAAATTGAGGGCGCCAATATTTAGCGTCAATATTTAGCGACGATTTTTAGATTTCTTCGCTATTCCGTCGCTAAATTATATACTAATTATTTTTTGGATTTTTTTGCAACGAAACTGTTGTTCCGTAGCTAATCCATCGCTAATCAGCGACGGAACTAAGTTTGTCGCTAAAATCCGTCGCTAAATGCAGTTTTTTTTGTAGTGGCATAGTCTTGGGACACCAGGTGTCAAGCAAAGGCATTGAGGTGGATCGTGCTAAGGTAGATGTAATAGCAAAGCTACCCCCTCCAACTTCAGTCAAAGCAATCCGAAGCTTCCTCGGGCACGCCGGTTTCTATCGGCGATTCATAAAAGACTTCTCAAAAATTGCCAACCCTCTCTGTAAGTTGTTAGAAAAAGATCACCCTTTCTTGTTTTCCGATGATTGCAGGGTAGCATTCGAGGAGCTGAAAAAGAGGCTGGTCACAGCACCTATCATAGTTGCCCCCGACTGGGAGCAACCGTTCGAACTCATGTGTGATGCTAGTGACTACGCAGTGGGGGCAGTGCTGGGACAGCGGAAAGACAAGATGATGCATCCAATATACTATGCTAGTAGAACGCTGAGTGGAGCCCAGCTGAACTACACTGTCACTGAGAAGGAGATGTTGGCTGTGGTGTTTGCTTTCGACAAGTTCAGATCGTATCTGATTGGGTCTAAGGTAATTGTATACACTGACCATGCAGCTCTCAGGTACTTGATTGAGAAGAAGGAGTCTAAGCCGCGCCTGATTCGTTGGGTGTTGCTACTGCAAGAATTCGACCTTGAAATTCGTGACCGTAAGGGCACAGAGAATCAAGTCGCTGATCATCTATCTCGACTTGAGGGAGCTGAAAATGCGGTTGAGGTTGAGGACATTCTGGAAACTTTTCCAGACGAGCAGCTGCTCGCTACTAGTCTTGAGGAAGCGCCATGGTATGCAGACTTTGCTAATTACCTGGCCAGTGGTATAGTTCCTTATGACCTCTCATCTGTCCAAAGAAAAAAGTTTTATCGTGATAGCCGCATGTATTATTGGGACGAGCCTTATCTGTTTAGAATATGTGTTGACAATATGATCCGGAGGTGTGTCCCCGAGATAGAACAATCTTCTGTTTTGCAGGCTTGTCACGCATCAGCATATGGAGGACATTTTGGAGGGGTCAGGACAGCTGCGAAAGTGCTTGAGGCCGGATTCTTTTGGCCAACAGTGTTTAGAGATGCGCACCTATGGGTGAAGGGCTGCAATGAATGTCAGCGAACTGGGAACATCTCCCGTCGCCACGAGATGCCCATGAACCCGATTCAAGAGGTGGAAGTGTTTGATGTCTGGGGGATTGACTTCATGGGTCCCTTCGTCAGCTCCTTTGGCAATAAATACATACTTGTTGCTGTGGATTACGTGTCCAAGTAGGTAGAAGCTACTGCGTTGCCCACTAATGATGCAAGAGTAGTGGTGGGATTTTTGGAAAAGAACATATTCACCCGATTTGGGACACCAAGAGCGATTATCAGTGACGGAGGCACTCACTTCTGTAATAGAGCCTTCGAGAAGTTGCTTGCAAAGTATGATGTACGCCACAAGGTGGCCACCCCTTATCACCCGCAAACTAGTGGGCAGGTTGAAGTATCCAACAGAGAGATAAAGAGTGTGTTAACCAAGACTGTGAACGCCACAAGAACTGATTGGGCGAGAAAGCTAGATGATGCACTCTGGGCCTACAGAACTGCTTTTAAAACACCAATTGGCATGTCACCATATAAGTTGGTGTTTGTAAAGGCATGTCACCTGTCAGTGGAACTTGAACATAAAGCGTGGTGGGCATTAAAGCAGCTGAACTTAGATATTGAGGCCGCAGGCACAACTAGAATCACTGACTTGCATGAGCTTGACGAGTTCAGACATCTTGCTTTTGAGAGCACAAGATTGTATAAGGAAAGAATGAAGAGGTTACACGACCAGAACATTGTTGAGCGACATTTCATACCCGGGGACTTGGTATTGCTCTATAACTCAAGATTACGGCTGTTCCCTATAAGCTTAAGTCAAGATGGTCTGGACCGTTTCGAGTGATTGAAGTATTCCCTTCAGCTTCTGTAGAGATTGCCGCAGATAAAGACTCTCGTACATTTAGAGTCAATGGGCAGAGATTGAAACTATATGTAGGCATGAACGAACCAAAGGAAGGGTCTGAGATCCACCTGACTGAACCTCAGAGGTCGAGCGAGCCTTGAATGCGCTCACGTGCGTCGTGCTGCGACGTTAAATCAGGCGCTGCGTGGGAGGCAACCCACGAATGTGTTGTAAGTGTAGTCTGTAATGTCATGTAAAAAAAAAAGAGGTTGAGTGACTCTTAATTGCGCTCGTGCCGCGTCGTGCCGCGGCATTAAATCAGGCGCTTCATGGGAGGCAACCCACGATAGTATAATTTCTAACATATTGTATATATGCAGGATAGTGCAGAGGACTTTGCATCACGAGCCTGAGCATAACATGGGAAAGGTAGGCATTAAAAGAGGTAAAAATAGTGCCTAAGGGGCAAAACAATGAAAAGAACCCCGAAATTAGCATCCAGGAACAGGCTCACCGCGGTCGCGGCGTAACCGCGGTCAGAGACCCTCTCTGAAGATGGTTCACCGCGGTCGCGGCGTAACCGCGGTGGGACCGCGGTCAGAGACCCTCTCTGAAGTTGGTCCACCGCGGTCGCGGCGTAACCGCGGTGGGACCGCGGTGGGACCGCGGTAGGTCGGACCAGGCCCAGGTACGATCTGCAGGAATTTTTTTTTTAATTTTTTTTTCTCTTTTCCCTCTTTAATTAACCTACCCTAACCCCACCCTCCCCATAACCCACCGACTTTTATCTCATCTTCTCTCATCTTCCCCTCTTCTCTCAATTTTCTTTTTTTCCTTCTTCTTCCCAAACTCCTCCTTCTTCCTTCTTCTTCTTTCTCCCGAAACCCACTCTCTTTTCCTTCTTCTTCTTCCCATAACCAAAAACCCCATTTTTTTTTCTTCTTCTTATTCCCTTTCTCCAACCAACCCAACCAAACCCTACCTCTCCACAACCCCCCCCCCCCACCTCTCCATAACCCCCCAAATTTGTCCCCAAGACTCCACGGTATTCTTCAAGTAAGTTGTTCTACTTTTTCTTGTGTTTTATGTACTTTGCATTATATAGTGATTATTGTGTAGAATTCTTGATTTTTGGTTGCAATGGGGTTTTAAACACCAAGTTTGGTGTTGTAGATGGTGTTTGGGGTTGATTTGTGTAGATGTGGGGGTGTGTTCCTAGTTGACAATCTTTGTGTGGGGTGGGTGGTAGTAGCATTTAACTGTTATTAATTTGTGGAAGCTTGCAGGGGGGTCTTATATGGCGGAATTGTGGCATTGATAGTGGTGTGGTGGCAATAGTGGATGTTGTCCATTTTGGCACCTTACTAGATGGTTGTAATGGCCATGCCTAAAAAAACAAAAAAAAAGGAATTGTGTGGTGCCAGTGGGTGGCGAAGTCTGAGTACCCACCCGACTGGCACATGTTTGGCTACCCCTGATCGTTATGCTGACTGGATTGCAGGTACTATGGTCAGAAAGAAGCGTAGGAACTCGGGAAGCACTTCCGAAGTGCCGACGTATGATGCCACCCGGTTCACGTCCGAGGAGGCAGAGGACAGGTTTCATGCTAAAGCTGCAAAAAGCTTTGTCCCTGAGATTGCTATTGACAGGGCTGCCCTCCGTGTAGAAAAACCGGACATGTACGAGGAAATCAGACGGAGGGGGATGGAGCTCTTGTTCGAGGAACCTGAAACGGCCAACCCAATGATAGTCCGGGAGTTCTACGCGAACTGCCCGAAACATATGTGCCGTTCTGTGGTTGTGCGGGGCAAAGTGGTAGATGCCTCATTACTGAAGATTCGCCAGGTCTTGCAGCTGCCTCCGTTCACTGCTGAAACTGATTATTACCACAATTCTCCAGGGGTCGATTGGGACACTCTGATTGAGTCAATATGCTCAGGGGGACGGCCAGTTTGGATATAGGAGTACATGACCCTTCATTCCAAGTCATTCACATGGGAGGCTAAGTGCTGGTTCACCATTATTTGCAGCAGGTTATTGCCCACGGGCAACACGTCAGATGTGAATAGCTTACGGGCTCTATTGGTTTGGTGCTTCGTAACCAGGAAGGACGTTGATGTTGCTAAAATCATTGGAGATGAAATGATCCTCCGGTCACCTCTGATGACTAAGGGGTTTTACTTCCCCTCACTTGTGACGAGGTTATGTCTGCTGGCTGATGTCCCCGCCAGTCCTACGGATGGAACTTTGCCCACAAGAACAGCATTTAGAGCTTCGAAGATCAAAGTGGGCAGAGATGCACCCACTCCCATTGAGCTTGACGACGATGATGACGTCCCAGCACCCATGGTACCACCCAGGAGATCTTATGATGCTGCCGGATCCTCTCGGTAACCCCAAACTGGGGCGGAGTTCTCTAGATCATACTCCAGCCGACCCAGGTTGCCTGCTTTGGAGGAAGAGGTGGCCGAACTTCGCACCTCGGTGGATGGCCTGCATGTACGTTTGGATGCCATGTCTAGACGGCAAGCCAGGTCTGAGAGCCGGATGATGGCTTGGTTCTGTGCTATAGGGAGGGCCTGTAAATTAGACCCCAACACCGTCTCTGACTCCGACTGATGACCAGGGAAGTTCTCTTACCTTTCTGCGCTTTCATTATTTTATGACATGGGGACATGCCATATTCTTTTTGTGTGGGGTGGGAGACTTGATTTAGTGTGTGTATTGTTAGTGTATATATGCATTAAGTATGTTGTAGTTTTGTGTTTTTGTTTTTGTTTGTATTTATGTTAGACGTCACTGACTTGGCCCAACGACGGACAC